AACCCTTGAGCCTCAACCGTAGACCCTGAACTGAGCCCCTACAACTTAGCACCTGTAGCCCTTAACGTTTTTGGAGCTGTGTGCCTGAAACCAGGCACGACCTTGTGGAGGACAAGTGTGACGACCTCAGCTTTTTGGAGTTTCGGGTTGTCTGTTGATTGAGGGTTTCGGGGTTTAGGGCTTAGGATTTAGGGCCTTTAGGGCTTAAGGGGTTTTGGGGTCTTTGTGGTTTTGGGGCTTGGGGTTTTTAGAACTTAGAAGTTTGGATACCCCAAGCCGCCAGATGCTGTAGAGGCAGCAGCTATATCTCCGGGGAGTTTGGCGCTGTGGCCATCTATGATGCCACGAACTCCACAAAGGCGCGCAGGGAGCTCTCAGGGCGCAGCTGTTTGGGTTTACCCCACCTAACACTGTAAACCCCAAGCCCTAAACCCTAAACGGCCCTAAACCTCTAAACCCCTACACCATAACACTCGAAGCCCTAAACCCGCAGCCTTGGCTTGTGGTCGAGGGCTGTGGCATGAAAGTGTGTCTGCCAAACCGAGCCTGCGACGAAACTTTCGAGACGTCATGACCTAGAGTCATAGTTTATGAACTCCCTGGCCGTATATTTGTGCAGCAAGAGCCTGCTCGAATATTGCCGGCATTCTAGGGTATGAATTCCGCATACTAGCCTGTAATGTAAAAGTCCCGAAACTGAAAAGGCCATGGTCAATCTAAACCCTAAGCCCTAAGCTGATACCCTGCATTGGGTTTTGCTGCTGCCCATGCTCGGTTCGATCACCACAGTCCTTCTGAGTTCCGAGCCCCACATCCCCCAGGCTGCTCAGCGAAGAGCAAACAGAAAGCCTACTTTTTGTCAAGTCAAACTTGTGAGTCTCAGAAAGTATATTGAGACGTAAACCATAGGATCCATACTACGAGCATTTCTCCTAGTTGTAAGAAGCACCATGTCTGAAGATATGCAAAGACAAGGCTTGAAGTTGAACAACATCGAACTAAGACGCATGCCATGGCATCGTCCGGCAGAAAGCAGATGTCCGTAGCGCCAGACCACAGATGGATCAAAAGCATGCGTGTGTTGAACTACACATGCGAGTACTTTTCGCAGCCCATCCGAGTCCTTGGGCTTCCGCATCCCAACCACTCACACGAGCTATCATACCTTGACCTTTAATGCGCTAATCCCAAGCCCTGAAACCGAAACCCCAAACCCGGCCATCAGCTACCGGAAGGAGAGGCGGCGATGGCTCGTAGAACGTCTTCAGGACCTAGGCGCCAAGGCCCGGCGACTTCTAAGTTGGGAGTTCTCGCGGTGTCCGGGCGATCCCCTCGGCTCTGTCGCTGGATGTGGCTCTTGGCTCGCGGATACCGCCGCCAGAGTAAGTATGAACAGTATTCCTGCCAATGGCGGTGTTCGCCGTCGCCGGCCATGTCGACAAAAGAAACAAGCGGAGTCTTCGTAACCTTCAGAACGTTCGAGAGGATGGCCTGATTCCGAGTCGACAAGAGAAAATTGCGTCGTCTTCATAATCTTCATAAGAACAAGACGAGCGACTAGTGTTAACCAGCGTCATCGCCGTCGTCGTAGTAAGTAGCCTCGTCAGCATGACCTTGCTCATTAGCGTCCGCGGCGCTACCTCCACCATCATCACCATCATCATCACCATCATCATCGCCATCATCATCATCATCATCATCATCATCATCACCATCATCATCATCTCGATGTTCATGATGACTAGGCAGGACCATGCTCTGCAAGACTCGTACCAGGTGATCTTCCTGGAGGTTACCTGCAGCGATTCCGAGCGCATCTCCGAAAACATCCAGTCCACGCACAAGAGCCTGCAAGTGCAACAGGCCAGCAACGAAATATAGGGGCCTGAATAATTACCAATACTATTTGGGGGGGGCTCCTTTTTACTATAATTATAGTAAAATGGGCCCCAAAACCCTATTCCAATTATTAAGGTCCCGAGAATTAACTGGCAAAGGCGAGACAATAGGGAACCTTTGTAAAGATCCGAAATACGGTTAAGCACCCTTTATTTTCGCTGCACCCCCCACAGAGAGTTCTCGTAATCAGCTCGGAATATGGGGAACTGCTTATGGAGTTCTGTTTAGGGTTTAGGGGTTAAGGGTCCACGGGTCTACCAGGACTTCCCTTGGAGCAGCTACTCTTTGGGCGACTTGAAAATTGACGGCAGCCCCAGGTGTCGTCAATGGAATGGAGAACCCCGAAGCCCAAAATCCCCAAACCCTGAGCCCGAACTCGACATCCCCGAACCACAACCTCCAAAAGCCATCCCTGAACCCAAAGGGCCCTAAAAACCTTGTGATAATTCCGATTGTCCTTGAAGCCCTAGCCCTGTTTCAGGTCCTGAGCGCTGAAGAGGCAGGTGCAGACTTCATGAAGCGAATCGGCTTCTACAACGAGGTGAGGTTCGCAGATTTATGGTTTGAAGGGCTTTCGATTTAGGATAGGATAGGTGTCAGGACTTCAGGTTGCGTGGTTATTAGGCTTCGCCAGTTTTTGAATCAGGATTGAAGGTTTAGTTCCCTTTTCCAACAAACAGCTAACAGTGTTCACAGTCGGGACCTCAAAAGCCACCGCATTCCTTAAGGACGAGATGTACCTTGTAACGGTCGATGGTTCAAACATCATATAAGAACTCATAGCATAAAGGCCACGTTACTTTTAACGGGTCCGTCGGTCCCCAAGGTTTTAGAACAAGCTGCAGGTGGCCGGTCAGACCTGAAGCCAACAGACTCTTCTTTGCAGCCTTCATGGTAGCAAGCAGCTGAATGTTGAAGTGTAGGGCGTACCCTCCGAACAGACGCAGACCGCTGTAGCTTCTGCATGCGAAGCTTGGCCCGTGCCTCTTTTTGCCCCTCACGGCAGGTGTACGAGACGCTCCAGAGCTGCACTCAAGACCCAAAACCCTGCTAAACCTTAAACCCTACTAAACCCCTAAACCTTAAACCCTAAACTACCCCAAGCCCTAAAGACTCCCAGAGCTCGAAACCTCTGACGAACCCTGATCAGGTCAGGGGAAGATAGAAACCCTACTAAAGACTTAGAAGGTCAGAGGAGTTGACATGTAGTTCAGCACTGTAAAACAATGCTAAACACCAGAAAGCGTTGCAAGGCCTCATAAACCCAGTTCAGAGATTCAACAAAGCGCTTATGTATACTACCCTTCAACACTCCCAGGCTCTCGGAAACCGAATATAGCTGGATCAAATTCGTAGATGGCGGGAGAGAGCCTCTGCAGCAGCTTGTGTTTTGGGAGTTTTTATGGTGGGTTGAATAGTTCTACAGGATTCTAGGTGGTAAAGCTGCCTTGTAATGGTTTTAGAAGGGTCGTATGGTGGGTTTGCAAGGCTGCCAGGTGCAGAGGTGAATTGTCTTGGGGCTTGAGGGTTAGAGTTTGGGGGTGCAGGGCTGAGGGCTTCAGCATGTCTTATGGATTTGGGCTTCGGGCTTTGAAAGTTAGAGCGGTTGGGCAGATTTCTAGGGGATTTCGAGGCTCTGCAAAGGCAGGGCCGTTGAAAGCTAGGTTTCCTTGCTTCCAGCAGCCTTATGCCTGCATGCAACCATTCTGAAAGCCAATACCTTCAAAGATTATATTGCTCTGGTTCTAGAGCTAAGACTGCTGGAGATGGACATGTGGGTTTACTTGAAGCCTCGGTCCCCTTTAGGGTTGTCATGTCGATAACCTTGTTCTACAGACTGCCAATGCTCGATTGGCCATGCTATAAGACGTGCGAGCCCAAAAGCATAGACCCAACGTTATTGAATCGCCTGCATGCAATACCACCGTCAGCAGGTAACGGAAGGCTATCAGCAGTCTGCAATCCCTGAAGCGCTTTCGCTTAAAGCTTTTCTGCCTGCTTGAAAGCTTCATGTTGCTTGGCACTCGCCGACACAACACCGTGCATGTTTGGGATGGGTGACAGTTGCTCTTCGTATATGAGGAGATTTCCCTCCACAATATGCGCGGCTTTTTGGCATCGCGGATTGCGCAGCTACCTGTGCTGCAAGCTTCTTTAACTGGGAGTGGGAGGGCTTTTGCTTGGGTACTCTGTGTCGCTCGGTTTAGGGTTTAGGCAGGATAGCATGGCATCGTGCTTATGGGAGTCATGTAACGTTGCTGTGCTTGCATTCTGCTGCGTTAGCGGTTCAACCTCTACAAAGACAAACATGGGGGTTTCCGAAAATAGGGGACCCTAATATAGTACCCTAAATAGTAGGATCCTTATTATTATTGAAAGATCGTCACGGCTTTCCCAGCCGATTCCAGGTTGGTACACTTCTCGATTTGTGCAGCGAAGAAACCAGGGGCTCACGGAGGGCCATGCAACTCTCCAACCCTTTTTCTCACTAACACAACACGCAGAACGTCGATGGTGTCTACCGTCACATGCCTTGAGCATGCTTCATGGTTTAGACCTACCATCTGTCCTAAGGCTCTTGCAGGCCTTCAACTGTGACATGTTGTGATGACACATGTCCTTGAAAGAGTAAAAGGAAGGCGGAGTGCAGCATTCAACACTCCTCCTTGGAGCCAGCGTTAGAGCCGCTCCACACAAACGGAAAAAACCTGGGCTCTGCCGGCTCTGCCTTCCATGGAGAACCCACGAAACGACGAACGGCCAGGACTCGTGCACACGGGTTGGACTAAACCCTAAAGAGCTTAGAGGTAACCTCCCCGCTGCAGG